GTCAGGGTGAGAATTTAAAGAAGTAAGCTCAGGCGGGACTCTCACCCTTTCTAAACAAACCCCAAACTCTAACTTCCTTGCTCAGATTTAATGTATGAAAGACAAGATCTTCCTGGGCCTAAGCCAGAGCTCAGGTTTGCTGAGACTCTGCAATAGGAAACTTCCATTTGAGAAAAATATGGACTGGCTGATTGTGTGGGTAAATAAAATAGAACTACTTTCTTTATAAACTGTCAACTCTCCCCTGCTCAATGAATTTGATCCTTGCAAAATTTAATGACCTGGCCTCAACAATTTAACATGTCATCACTACAGTCCTTCCCTTGCTTCTGCTTCTAAATACATGCTTCCTTTATGTACATCAACCCAATTATTCTAACATCCCTTTATCTCAACTCAGCACTTTTAGGAAAAACTTAGCTTTTCACATTGTTATCTCCTTTAATATCTTTGTTTTCTTTCCAAAATGTAGAATAAGTTAGCTCTCTTGAGGTTACAAATAATTTCTCCTCCATGCAAAGCCTCTGTTGTAATGAACAGAAAGTATCTTTAATTTTTTATGAAAACAAAGCTAATTTAGTTTCTGTCATATATGAGGGAAAATTAAAAACAGCTTTTAGTGACATTAGAGTTATTGTATTTTTATTGGACCACACACTGTTGGAGACACTTATCACTGAATATGTAGAATAATATGCATGGACTCTCAGAGTCAGAGGTGACTAAGGACTGCTGCTACTCCAACCCCATTCAAGGTGCAACGCCCCTGCTCAGTGTTCACTTACTGCCATTGTCTTCAATCTTTTCAAAATCTGCAACTTCAATATATTTACTTTTGCTTTCCTTTAGTAATTGCTAGGTAGACATCAAGGGATTCAGGGTCTCCTGGGGACGAAAGTGGGTGCCTTGCCTTTGGTGCTGCCTTGAGCAATTGCACCACCTGAGAAGGAGGACAAGGGTGGGCCCCAGGCCCCAGTCTTGGTGCTGCCCCACCTTAATCCTGTCCCAAGTGACTGCCATACCTGGGAGAGGAAAAAATGCCCTGCCAATCTACCAATCAGAATTTAGTACACCAACTGCAAAAGAATGCAGAGGACTCTCCAGCCCACAGGCCAAGTGGCATAGGTACAATAGAGTCTGGAAGGTGATTTAGGACAACCTAAGGCTAATTATCATGTCATTAGCTTAAATCTACATTGCAGTTCACCCCAACAAAAGTGCTTTCAGAGAGGATCATGGGAGATCCGCGTGTGTAGTAAGATTCAAGTCATATAACTCCCAACTGTCCATCAAAGTGGTTCCACGATGATGTCTGAATCACAGGGAGGTCCCTATCCAGATGTCATAAAACAAGAGCCAGACTATAACCAAGGTCTCTTTTGCTATGACAAAGGGCCTGGTTGTCATCTGTGGTATATGTATCTTGCTCTTGCTGTATAATCTTATCTTGCTCCCCGTCAATAAATTTCACCTTGTGCTTGCCTTACTTTAGTGTGTCTGGTCATTCTTCCGCCAAGAGCATACCAAGAACCAAGAGCACAGAATACAGAATGAGATTGCCAAATCCGACATAATCACAGGTCTCCCAACTACCTTGCCTGACCACTTCCTATAGCTATTATTCTATATTGAATTTGCTTTGACTAGCAAATTTTTTTAATGAACAGTTTATATGTGCAGTCACAATATTCTCCTGTCCTGATCTCTTCTTCAAATTACAATTTCTTTTTCTTTTCTTTTTTTAAAGGGTCAGAAAGCACCCATGGGTCTCAAACCCCAGCGCAGGGATTAGATGGATGGAAAGTCCAATGTGAGGAAGCTTGAGCTAATGCCGATCCTCAAATTACAATTTCTATGCAAACGTTAAGATCTATCTTACATGGCTCTTTCCCTATGAGGAATTCTTGAAACTTTCAGACATTCGGGTGCACCTACATTACTTTCAATTTCTTTTTATTAGAACTGATCACACTGCATTCTGCTGTTATCACATTTATCTGTTTCCCCATATATCTTCCCCATGAAATTTTACATTTTTTATGGAGGAGAGCAACTATATTTAATGTCTTAAAATAATTGTCAAATAAATGAATGAATAGATAAATTCCTCTTTATTTTCTGACCCTGCTGTAATCTGGCTCCTGTTTTATTCACTTCCTGGAAATGTCACTCTTACACCCCACTAAAGTATTTCCACTACTATCCATGAAGGAGTAACTGATAAAGAATTAGCTCTCCAGTTATAAACAACTCTAAATATGGACAAAAATTATGAGACACTGTTTTTAGACATTGGAAATTAGGCAGTGCAAGCCTTTGATTTCTGAGAAAAGGGAAATTTATGAGATTGAGATCCACAGTCACCAAGCTGTCTGCCAAGGGACAATTTTCCAATTACAATACAGAGATCTGGGAACAAAGCAGAGCGTGGCAGTCCTGCTGAGGTGAGGAGCAAATATTAGTGTCATAGCAGTGCAAGCATCTGGAAGAGGGCAGGGAACTGAAGAAGACAGAGTAATGCAGAGAAGGGCCCCAGAAATCCATGTGGAAGCGTCTCCTACAAATGACCTGTGTCCAGAATGTGCAGAGAAAATTTACAATTTACTATGCAGAAAGTGGGCATAAGACTTGGACTCTTCCCAAAAGGCAATATACAAATGACTAATAAGCATGTGAAAAGATGCTCAATATCATTCATCATCAGGAAAATGCAAATTTAATTAATAGTTC